AGGACATCTCGAGCTTTCTAAAAAGTCCTAGAACACCTCCAAAAGTTCAAAATTGAAGAAGTTGGGCATTGTTGAAGTTGGGCATTTTTGCAAAATTGCCAAAAGTCAACTATCCCCAAAACTTCAAATTTTGTCAAATGGGCCTATTCTTTTCCACTTGATTTGATCTTGACACATTGCACACGTGTCCTAGCTTCAGCCTTGTGTCCATTTATCAATTTTATTATTTTATTTGATTTTTTATTGAACTATTTCATTTTAAATCAATTTAAATCAAATAAAATCCCAAAACTTGATTACATGAGATCTTTTTCTATTTTCAAGACTTAATCATCATCAATATCATGATCAAACTCGTATCAAGCATTCCTTGTGCAAAAAGATTGAGTTTTTGATAAAATTGGCAAGTCTTCAATGGTGGATCAAATCAAATCCCATGGCATTGATGTGCAAAGATTCAATCCACAAATGTTGACCTAATACATTCTATATTACATATACAAGTGAAAGCACCCGAAATTGGGACCTAGAGGCTGCAAGAACACTGAGAACCAAACTTGAAAAAAAGTGGAAAAAGTGCAAAACTGAAATCACACTTAGAGGCGTTTATAGAAGCAAAACTCAACACCAGTCGATTGTTGGGTGTCTACTCAACCTTTTGCAATCCAAAGCAAGCTCTCATACGCATCAAAACGCACTGTAAGCATCACGTTTCATGGCCCTGTATTCAAAATCGTAACTCCATATTTTTGCATCTTTCTGGCAAATCTTTGACATATTTGTGATGCTTATGAGATTTCTGAACTTTTGATAATATTTGATTTCATTTATATGAATTGTAACCCCATAACCGTATGGCTAGGGTTTTGTGTTAGATTTTAGGGATTTGTATTTCAGGAAAAATTGGATCTTGTGATGGACATGGTTGCACTCAGGAGAGGAAGACGAACCTAACCATGTCCTTGGGGGTCGTTTTCATGGCCTAGAATGGATTTTGGGAACGTCCTGCGAATTTAGCTGCGGATTTAAATCCGCAGGTAAAGTTACAGTGTTGGAGGAAGAAGACGATGACGCGTCAATCCCCCAATGGCCAATTCATAATTCGCGCGTTTTTATTTTTTGTTTTGGCATATTAATTCATTATCCCATATTATTATTATTGTTGAATATATTAACACATGAAGCGTGATGGCTGAGTGGTAGTGGCGTGTGTCCAATGACCAACAGGACCTAGGTTCGAATCCCAGGTCCCCCATGTATTTGTTATATTTTTTCTACATATTATCCAGTGCAAATCCAAGCGCGTGATGCATCATACTCCCTCATTCAATCAATGGACAGATGGCCCCAGGCCAGTTCTGATGACCCAGATGGAACGTACATCATGGAATCAAGTCAAAGGCGCACATTGAATCTCTCCAAGTCAGTCAGGCATGCGCCATTTGGGCCATCAAATTGCTGCTCAGACTTCCAAATCAGGCCCAACCCCCCCCCCCCCCCCCCCCCCACAAGTCTTTCTATTTCATTTTTTACTTATTTTATTTAATTGTTTAATTATTTTTCATGATTTATTAACCAATCAAACTTTTTTTTCTTAATAAAATTAAAACCCAAAAAATATTTTCTTTATTAACTTAAATTTTAGTACTTTCTTTTTTAACAAATAAATTAATTAATTTAGTTTTAATTAGGAATAACTTTAATATTTTTGCAATAATTAAAATTAACTTAGACAATTAGGTTTTTATTAACATTGATTAAATTTATTTTTCTTTCTTTAAATAATACAAAAAAATCAAAAATATTTATTTTTCATTAAGTAATTAATTTATTTATTAATTTAATAATTAACCTAGATTAATTTATTTCCTAATTCAAAACAAACAAAAAATCTTTTTTCTTTAATAACAAAGGGTCAAAACTCTAGAACTTGCGCCCGATTTAATTTCTCGCACGCGGTCCATTTTGATTCAATATTGTACTTGTTCCCGGTTTGTAATAGCTAATAGGACTTTTATTATTTTTTTATAGCTTTCTTTACTTTAAAGGGTTTGTCTTTGGCGATGTAAATACCCGACGCCTTGTAATTTAAATTTCGCAATTTATTTTCCGCAAATTATAACTGTTAGATGTTTGATAATAAGAATGCATGACAAGACTGGATGTTTTAACCTAAAATCAACTTAGATCACCATTAACATGTACAAAAGACAAAATTAATTGAAAATGACACACTCGCACATGCGCACTCTTAGGGTACACCCCACTTGGTTGCCTTCGTACGCGGTTATTGAGTATAGGTCACTTTAGAGGTTGCCCTCTTGTCTAAAGATCATAGTCGCCTCGAAACGGTTGCCTCGGATATTGTTGCCTCAAAACAAATGATCTAAGACATTAGGGTTATCGCTAAGGCGTCCTAACATTGCTTTGGTGACCGTAAGTCCCTCATTCGAATTGACCCTTAAAATCTAACGACGGTGTTACCTACTCATCAATAGTGGGATAGCATTGTCTAAAGGAAGATAGCATAGAACGATTCCTTTTTCGAGTAGGTAGATGGTTCTTAAGTACTTGCTCTTTCAAAAAACAAAAACAAAACTTTTTTTACACTTACACCTTTCAAACAAAAACTCTTTCAAACCCACAAACACAAAGAAAGCAAATTTTTGAAAACAATATGAGTAAGTACCTGAGAGCCCGTGGATAATCACGGATAGAAAGGGTGCTAACACCTTCCCTTTCTATAATCTACCCCCCGAACCCGAGAAATATCTTAAAAAGGAATTTTTCTGTGCTTTTTTCCTCTCCTTGTTGGATAAAATAAAAGTCGGTGGCGACTCTTGCTTACCGCGACATTTTGCGAAAACAAACGCAAACCAGCATTCCAAAAACAGTCAGTTCTTTCCCACCGTATCACAGTTATCAATGAGAAAACCATCAATTTCACTGAGTTGAATGATCAGGGCTTTAATTTGGGAAGGAGAGTTCTTCAACAAAGGTGGGTTAACTATTTCTCTATGTGGAATGGTCTCATATAGCCAAATCTTATTAATGGTTTATGCGTCTATCAGATATGATGGAATGGAGAATTGTTCTTTTGTTTGTGGAACTTCCTTAACAATCAATCTCGCATTCATTGCCTCTACAATTGGTTTAAGGAAAAAGGATTTATATTGTCGAAGACTACAAGTTCAACGATACATTCTCTAAATCTTTAATCTTTGACATCTATGACAACTTTGACAAACTCAGCAATCCAGCTACACTCCGTCCTGAAACTAAAGTTTGGCATCAGATTCTGATGGCTAACCTTCTTCCCGGAGAGAAAGAAGTGGAACTTCTAACCTATGAGGAGAAACACTTCTTATACTTCTTAGTGTTTAATATTCATATTGATCTTCAACTACCTCAAGGATATCCACACCAACAGACCAAAGAAAAGAAAGGCAATACTCATAAAGAACTTCTTTAGGGCAAAAACGAGGCCAAGAGAAATCAAGTAATTTGGCATCATAAGGAATTCAAACTATTATTTGTTGCTAAGGATCAATAATGATAAGCATCTCAGCGTGGTATGATGCCATTGTTGAATAGCTTGAAGCTTTGCACGAAATCATTAATAGAAATTGTAAGGAAAAATTAAAATGTTCAAACGAGGAATACAACTTAAAGCAACTAAGAGATAAGGAAAGTTTAAAAGATTACTTGGGTTCTAAAGAAAGCCTTTTATAACATTAAATTTGAAAATGTACTAATGATGAAATATAGACACTCGAGACTTCAAAATGGGATATATTCATCGTCATATTTCGACATAGATTTCAAAACAAAGGACCATTGATGAGAAACTTCTGACGTGTGCAATATGAAGCAAGAAACGTGTCGTTTTGAGAAACATTTGTTGCTTTAATGTATCATAAACTTGCACAAATTTTTATTAGTTGTACATGAACAAAATTGAAAATTGGTGTAATGTAGATTGTGTTCAAAGTAGACCTTTTGAAGGAAAGAATGATTATCAAGAACTATGAATCCACCACACAAAAAAGGACTCCAAAAGAAGAAAAAAAACTAGACAAGACCAAAAATAAAACATACATATGTAAGAATTCAAGCAAAAAGGGGTTCAATTAAAACTTATGGGAATGCAAGCATGGTTATAGAGTTGGAAAATTATGTTATTTTTCCCTAGATGCTAAATGCAAGGGGAATTCCTGCATAAAGATTCCTCGAGTAAACTATCTTTCAAATTGAAATTTTAATGGCAAATAGATGTGGAAGAATATAAAATCTCCAAAAAAATATGGAAACCAACAAAACAAATAAAACGAGAACTCAACTCAAGCATGTCTAATAAATGGAAAAAAACAGTGGGTAGTAATTATAAAAACATATACAGATACGTTGGCAAACAGATTCTGAGGGAATGCTTATTGCATGGCACATTCACAATATGCAACTCATCTTCCGTGTCATATTTGCCGTGCATACTTCTGTTCCAAGAAGACACCTTTGTCCACCAAAGTGGAAAATATTTCAACTCTCAAATGAAGGGTTCAATTGATGAGACAAACAAGGGTTGTGGCCATTGTGAAGAACATTCCTAATAAGAATGAGCTCACCCACACCATAGCTACGCCAATGTTTGCAATAGTTGAAAGTTAATAGTAACTTGGTTTTAACCAAATAAACGTTGAAGTTACAAAAAAAATTAAACCAGTATTGCTTATGAGTACGTGTTCTGCAGATTTCTAACCAAAAATGTAGGCTTCATTTAAACATATTGAGGCTAGATAAACCAAATTTCCCCTAACATTGAAATAAGAACAAAACATTCATGAAACCATTGCTAATTGTACAAATAAGCAACAGAAGATTACAAAAAAATATTCAGCAATTTGTTCAGACTATGCAATTTTAACCTGAATATGATTCCCTAAAACCAAAATATGAAACAACCTGAATATGATTCCCTAAAACCAAAATATGAAACAACTAGATCAGTTATCATTAGATAACTCCTCAATGATGTCCGAGATGACCTTGTCCATGTCAAGATCTTTCATGGGCTGAAATGGACGTTTCATGTCCTACATGAAAGAAAACATTTGAAAATAGCATCAGTTGAGCATACTAAAATTTTGATACTGGTGAGTCCAAAAAAATCTTAATTCAATGAAGAGCAGTGAAAATTACTTAAAAATAATACATTACATATCCAAAACAAGAAAAAACAACTTTATGATATAGCACACGAACAAAAGGACATAAAATTAACGGTTATAAACAGGTTAAAAATTGTTATGTAGATAACAGAAATGAAAGACTTACCAAAAGGCTGATGAAGGTTTTGTCTCCATCTTGCAGACGGATTTCAAAACAACCTCTCCTTGGCTGTTAATTGAAAGATAACACATAAGAAAAAAACTGTGATAAATAAAACTTAAAACAACAAATAAAAACAGATACATACCATACGAATTCAATAAGAATTAAGTTATAATATGGACATGACTAACAATTATTGTGTTTGAAAAGTGACTATTGACATAACACATTCAAAAGAATTGTAATTGAGTTTGACTTAGAGGGTGTTAACATGGTATAGGAAGTGTGAGGACGAAGATAGAGTGGGAATTCAGTAGATCTCACCACAAGTGAAGCAGATGATTAAGAGAGATCATTTTAGCTCATGCAATATCATAAATGAGTACATTCATGTAACTTAAACTTACAAAAATAATTTCTTGATTTACCTAAATAAATTATGAAAATTGTTGATTAACTAAGGCGAAGATAACTGAATTATCAGTTGTAAAATTGAAAAAATTAGTACACACTGTAAAAATGAAAAAATTAGTACACACACTGTAAAAAAATCAATACTTTTACATGTTAAAATCTAGCAACCTCTCCACTTCCCTATTCTACATTCTACTTCTACCTAAGCACAATAATAAAATCAAAAGACGCATGGCATTTTCTCATTTGAACCAAAACAATCCTTACATTATTGCATAATCTTATAATTCAAAAACATTTAGACATATAATGTAAGGTAGTAAAATAATCAATGGCAGAATAAAAAATAAAAACACTTATAAACTCAGGGGACAAGACCTAATATAATGCAGTTAAGCAAGAAAACTAAACAAACCATAAACTACCTTGTCAGGATTCAGCTTCACAACAACATCAAGATCACTGCCCTCCAGACCATCCTTCACCTGAATAGCTCTTGTCTTAAACGAGTTGCACTGCTTGCTGAAACAATTTTAAGCAAAACACCGTTACAAAATACACAATAATATCAACAACACTATCTATTAACTACTAAAAACTTCCCATTATCAAGATTCTGGGTTAAAAAATCTCATTCTTGTTTAGGAAAAACTTCTTCAAAAAAGCACAAAATAATCAAGATTTACTATAGATCTAACAAGATTTTTTATAAATAATCAATATGTTTTACATTTATTACACGCTGCTCAATAACAACAGATAGCTTAAAAAAGATTCACTAACAAAACAGAACCTATCAATATCAATATGCAATACAGAATACAGCATTTTCGGATGATTCCTAAAAACTAGGGTTTAGTCTTCCTTGAAAACAAATCAAAATACGCATTCTCTGTTGATTCCGAAAAATTAGGGTTTCATTTCATAAAAAACAAAAGCTTCGTTTCAAAGAAAATATACGCTATAGCTTCATATCAAATATACATTAAGCTACTTTAACCATAAAACAAACAGATTAAGATAAACACAGTACTTCATCAAGAAAAAAACCGCACATCACTTTCTTCTTCATTTTCAAGCATTATAACGAAAGCAAGAAACTGATAAACGGTAAAAAATAGTGAAATACCAATGCTCAACGATGACGACAGACTTGACGGCATCTTCTTTCACAGCTCCAGAGCCTTCACCTTCTTCTTTCACTTTCCCTTTCCCCTTACCCTTAACCTCAGCAGTCTTCGCCTTCGCCGGTGATTTCTTAGTAGTGTTAGGTAACTCGACAAAGTTAGCGACAGAAGAACCTCTGGCACCGGAACGAGTGAGTCTCGTGGCGGAGCGAGTGACTCTTGCCGACTTCGCCGCCGGTTCTGCAGCTTTCTCAGCCTTGCGCTTTGGTGCCATTTCTTCGGAATGCTCTGTGATTTTTTTTCTTGATGATTTCTTTCTCTCTCTCTTTCTTTCTCAATGCGTGCGTGTTGTTTTCGCTTCTGTGCTTTCTCATTTTATTACAACGTTTTGGATTTTCCCGCGCTTTTTGATTTGAATGAACGGTTTAGATTGCTTGTGAGATGGATGGATCGACGGTTGTTTGTTTGCGTTGAAAGTAAGCGGAAAAAGGCTCGAAATTCTAGAACTTCCCAAACGGATGGAGTGGTGAGGAATAGTGAGGGTTTAATAGAAAAAAAAGACAAGAACGCATTAATTCTGAATTAGTGTGATACGTACTACAGAGTAGTTTAACTTAAATTATTTAATTTTAATCTAACGGTTATAAATATTGTGAGTACATGAATTCGATAACATTTGGATTTTCTACTCTCGATTCAATTTTGTAATAAAGTGAGGCAATACATTTTATTAATTGAAATTTAAATTATTTTATCAATAATTAGATAATTTAGTGGTAATTAACGTTGAATTAATTAAAAAGGATCATACAATTGCGTGATTGAAAGGGGATTAGAACCACTTGATTTTTTTTTGGTGAAAAATTAAATAGAAAAAAATTTAAATGTTTTTTTCTCTAAAACCGAGTCTACAAATTATTTGGATGAGTATGAATAGTATTAAAAAATGGTTTAAAAAAATAGTACGCAGGAGGTGGCAAACGGGCATCTGTTCCGCTTAAGTCTGCCTCGCAAAAGCTTGCAAAAAAAGAGGCGGGACGGTCATAGTTGAGGATGAGGGTTTAAAACTAAAATTCGCTCACACAAAAAATGAGTGTGGGGCGGGAAAAGTCTGCGGGCACTACATATTTTAAGCTTAAAAATACAAAATTTCATGTTAATAATCGTGCATGCAAAAGTCCGCGAAGAAAATGGAATTGGACGGAGCTGACACATTAAAGAGTGAGGGCTTAAATTCTAGACCTGCCTCACACTAAAGTGCGGGCAAAACAAGCATGCCCAACGGGTCAAACCCGTTTTGCCATCCCTACGCAGGGCTTAGGTACTTTTTTTCTTTAAAATATGTTATGTTTTTTAGTTGAGTTAAATATGTTATTGGTCCGTATATTGTGATTTTCACTTTTAGTCCCTCTAAAATTTTCCTTCAAAGACGTGTCTCTATAAAAAATTTCATCCACATGATTGGTCTCTGACGTTAAATCCCATTAACAACTGATGATGTGGCAAGACAGATGGAATAAAATAATTACATTTTTTTTAATTATGTTTTAACAGTGAACACGTGGGTAAATATTTTCTTATCATTTTTGTAATACGGTGGAAGAACTGACTTGGTTGTTTTGCGTTTGATCGCAATTATTGCGGATAGCAAGAGTCGCCACCGACTTTTCTTTTATCCAACAAAGGAAATATTGAAAAGAACAGGAAAGACCTTTAGAGATGTTTTCTTGAGTTCGGGGATGAAAAGGGAAGGTGTTAGCACCCTTTTCATCCGTAGTTATCTACGGGCTCTTAGTTGCTTGCTAGATCACTTGCTTTTGTTTGAAAATGTGCTTTGTGATGTGGGTTTGAAAATATTTTGAAAATGTCTTTGTAATGATTCTCGTCTCTATAAGAATGCGTACAAAGTGTTGGTTTTGAAAATAGTTCAAAGAGGTGTTTGTGGAAGATGTTTTTAAAAGGGATTTTGAAAAGTGCATTTGTAATGATTATCGTATCTATAAGAATGCGTATAAAGTGTTTTAACTTTTGAAAATATTTCAATTGAAAGTGTTGGTGTGAAAAAATGTTTTTGTTGTGAGCAAACGAGCAACTACGAGCGTCCTACCTATTCAAAAGGTCTTGTGTTCTTTTCCTCCTCCTTTAGATGTTGCTATCTTACCATTGATTGATAAGAAGCCCCATTATTGGATGTGAAGGGACGGGTGTGGGTCGCTTGTATAGTTATAGAAGGAAACCTATGGGACATTTTAGCAATTTCGTTAGGGACTAGATCGTTTACCGAAGGCAACATCAAGGGACTAGGATCTTTTTATCGAGGGTCTTTGCTAAAACACTTATATTCGAGGGGTATGACTATTTTCCGAGGCAACAAGTAGGATTACCCTAGAGGTGCATGTGTGCAAAGTGTGTTTGATTGCACGCATTTAGTCTTTTGATTTTGGGTTGTCTGCTTGTTGGTTTTATCTTGCCATACATCCTAATTACTAACATTTGTATAAAGCAATAAAAATGCAGAAAATAAATATCCTACACTATTACAACCATATTGAATAGCAGGAAAATATAAAGACAAAACAAAATAAAAGAAGGGAACATGAGTTTTTCGATCCAGGCAGAATGCACCCTTCGGTTCTGCTTTTATGGGCTTCTTTCGATTTGGGCCTAGCAATCAGCATGAGAGGCAGCTTTCGATTCATCCTTATGGCCACTTCTTTCGATTGGGACTGGAAGTCAGTGTGAGATGCAAACTTCAATCACGCCCTCTGTCCTTCTTTCAATTGGGGCCTGGAAGTCAGTGTAGACACCACTCGTTTCTCCCTTTTTTCTCCTTCGTTTGGGCTATGAAGCAATATGGGCCTGCAAAGCAGCATGACAGCGCATCCTCCATTCACGCCCTCTTTGTCTTTCGTTTGGGACTGTGAAACATTAAGGGGGCGAAGCCTGAGGGTTCGTTTCACACGAGACTTCTTCTTTTGTTTGGGGTCTATACAGGTTAGTTCTACTATACATTTGGACAAGAAAAACAAACGAAAAGGGCATAAACGAAAAGTAAACAAATATTATGTACATGCTTGAAACGAATGGGTTAAGGTCAGGGGACTTACCTTACTTTCGAAGTTAGTGTTTTTGGACCTTGAGTGATTGGACTGGATGCTCCTGGATTCGAAGGAAAGAAATAAGTGTGGTGTTTCTTTGACTGGATTCGAAGGTCAAGAAGAGTAGGGTTGTGTTTTTTTTGTTTCTGGATTTGAAGGAGAAGAACAGGTGTAGTGTTTCTTCTTGATGGATTCGAAAGAAAGAACAAAGTATGGGGTTGCTCCTTGATTCAAAAGGGAAAAGAAATAGGTGTTGTGTTTCTAGTGTTGGATTCAAAAGGAACAAAGACAAGGGTGTGCTCTTTTGATTCTGAGTTTGAGAATGTGTTAAGTGTTTGATGATTTTCAAAGTTTCTCCAACTATCAAAAGCCCTCTGAATGTGTTGTCCATCTCCCTAAATGTGTTATGAAGCCTTTTATTTATAGGTAAAGTTGGTTGAGGTTTAGGAGGGAGATTCCGCTGGGGAATGCTGATCTCTATTGAGAGAAGTAGAATTTTAGGAGCTTCGGTCGTCTGTTATTCTGCTGGTGAATCATCTCTGTTGAATTTTAGGAACTTCGGTCGTCTGTATTCTACTGAGGAATCATCTCTGTTGAATTTTAGGAACTCCGGTCGTCCGTATTCTATTGAGGAAACATCTCTGTTGAATTTTAGGAACTTCGGTCGTCCGTATTCTACTGATGAAACATCTCTGTTGAATTTTAGGAACTTCGGTCGTCCGTATTCTACTGAGGAATTATCTCTGTTGAATTTTAGGAACTTCGGTCGTCCGTATTCTACTGAGGAATCATCTCTGTTGAATTTTAGGAACTTCGGTCGTCCGTATTAAACTGGGGAATCATCTCGGTTGAATTTTAGGAACTTCGGTCGTCCGTATTTGACTGAGGAAACATCTCGGTTGAATTTTAGGAACTTCGGTCGTCCGTATTCGACTGAGGAAACATCTCTATTGAAGAGGAAAGTTTAATTTTAGGAGCTTCGGTCGTCCGTTATTCAACTGGGAATTAAACTATTATCCAGTCATACTCGGGCTTCACAGCTTGAATTTTGTGAGAATTTGATTGTATCTTTCTTGAAAGGTAAAGGTTAGTTGTATGTAATGCATGATATGTATCAAGCAATGATGTTCTCAAAATAAATGAGATTGTGTTTGTACGATGCGTATATGCATGTGTCATGATGTATGGAAATGTGAATTTTTTTAGCTGGGGAAAATAAATCCCTGATTGTTGCTGGAGAAAAGAGTTGAATTCTTCGTTTCCGCTGGGGATAGTGAATGAAGATGATTGCGAGAATAAACCTGCAGGAGAGTGATTAGGTGTTTCGTATCCCACTCGCCTTTGATCTGACTGATCATGAGAGCAGAATCTCTGAATACACTTAAGAACTTAATCCATAGGTTAATAGCTGCTCGAAGACCCATGATGCACGCTTTATACTCCGCCATGTTGTTGGTGCAGTTGAAACATAGTCGGGCGGTGAACGGAGTATGAGAGCCTTCAGGAGATATGATCACGACGCCAATTCCATTACCCAAAGCGTTTGAAGCTCCATCAAAATACATAGACCATCGGGATCCATCCTCAGGTCCTTCATCCGGTCCAGGTGTTTCACAGTCAGTCACCAACATGATGTTCTCATCCGGTAATTCGAAGTTCATAGACTGGTAATCGTCCACTGCCTGATGTGCCAAATGATCCACTAACACACTTCCCTTGATTGCTTTTTGGGTCGTGTATTAGATGTCGTACTCAGTCAAGATCATCTGCCATCTTGCTATTCTTCCGGATAAGACAGGTTTTACGGAAATATACTTGATTGGATCCATATTCGATATCAATAGGGTAGTGTGAGTCAGCATATACTATCTCAGCCGGTGAGCAGCCCATGCCAAAGCGCAACAAGTTTTCTCAAGCAACGAGTATCGGGTCTCGCAGTTGGTAAACTTTTTGCTAAGGTAATAAATAGCATGCTTTTTTCGGCCAGACTCGTCATGCTGCCCCAGCACACACCCCCATTGAATTGTCGAGTACTGTCAAGTATAAGATTAAAGGTCTTCCTTCAACTTGAGGCATCAGAATAGATGGCTCTTGGAGATATTCCTTGATCCTTTCGAAAGCGGCTTGACATTCATCGTTCCATCTTACCGCTGGGGAATGCTGATCTCTATTGAGA